TTGCACGAAATTTGGCATAACGTACTGAATTGAGCATAGAATGATGTCTGCCAAGTTCCGTGAAAATCGGTCCAGATTTAGATATAGCTCCCATATATAGTTTCATTCGATTTCATGTAAATGGTGCACCAAAGTCCCTATATATCTTTCGATTTGCACCAAATTTGGCATAACGTACTGAATTGAGCCTAGAATGATGTATGCTAAGTTTCGTGAAAATATATCTAGATTTAGATATAGCTCCCATATATAGTTTGTCCAATTTCATGTAAATGGTGCACCAAAGTCCCTATATATCTTTCGATTTGCACGAAATTTGGCCTAACGTACTGAATTGAGCATAGAATGATGTCTGCCAAGTTTCGTGAAAATCGGTTCAGATTTAGATATAGCTCCCATATATAGTTTCGTCCGATTTCATGTAAATTGTGCACCAAAGTCTATCTATATATTTCGATTTGCACGAAATTTGGCATAACGTACTGAATTGAGCCTAGAGTGATGTCTGCCAAGTTTCGTGAAAATCGGTTCAGATTTAGATATAGCTCCCATATATAGTTTCGTCCGATTTCATGTATATTGTGCACCAAAGTCTATCTATATATTTCGATTTGCACGAAATTTGGCATAACGTACTGAATTGAGCCTAGAGTGATGTCTGCCAAGTTTCGTGAAAATCGGTTTGATTTAGATATAGCTCCCATATATAGTTTCATTCGATTTCATGTAAATGGTGCACCGAAGTCCCTATATATCTTTCGATTTGCACCAAATTTGGCATAACGTACTGAATTGAGCCTAGAATTATGTATGCTAAGTTTCGTGAAAATATATCTAGATTTAGATATAGCTCCCATATATAGTTTGTCCAATTTCATGTAAATGGCGCACCAAAGTCCCTATATATCTTTCGATTTGCACGAAATTTGGCATAACGTACTGAATTGAGCATAGAATGATGTCTGCCAAGTTTCGTGAAAATCGGTTCAGATTTAGATATAGCTCCCATATATAGTTTCGTCCGATTTCATGTATATTGTGCACCAAAGTCTATCTATATATTTCGATTTGCACGAAATTTGGCATAACGTACTGAATTGAGCCTATAGTGATGTCTGCCAAGTTTCGTGAAAATCGGTTTGATTTTTAGTAATTGACGCACCAAGGAACCAATATATGGCTGATAGGAACAAAACGCACTGAAATTAGTATAACCTAACCTGTGTCAAATTTCGTTGAAATCGGTTCATATTTGGATATATATTTATATATTTTCGTCCGATGTTTGTCAGATTTATATCAAACGCTGCCCGAATGTTGCTCTGTGGTATTTTGGCCAATTCCCGGCGAAGCGCTTGTTTGAGGTGATCGATACTTTGGTATTTTTTATTGGCAACTTTGCTTTCCAAAATACTCCAGACACAATAGTCCAAAGGATTAGTATCCGGAGATTTTGGTGGCCATTGTGCGCTGGAAATGAAGCGAGGAACCTCATTCTTGGGTGGCGAGTGCGATGGTTCTGAATCCTGTTGCAATGTCCAAGGTCTACGGCCAAAATGTTTGCGTGCCCATCGCTTAAATACACCCTCCAGAATATTTTCGCGATAATATTCGGCATTAATTTTTGGGTGGCGCGTGCTGAGTGCGATGGAGAGCGTACATGCCCCGAAACTGCCAAGATAGACATTTATTTCCTGAAGAGATTCGGAAAACCATATTGGCTTTTGCAAAAACTCATAGTGGATCCAACTCAGTGGAGAAATTTTTTGTTCTCGGATGAATTAAAGTTTAACATTTAAGGCTCTAATACGAACAACTTGCGGTGAGAAGGCATAATAATGCAAGACTCAGGCCTCAACATTGTTAAGGTACTGGAAAGCATGGATGCATGTCAATAATGGCATTCGACTGTTTTTCTTTTTATGGTGTTCGATCTATTTACGAGATTTATGGATCGGATTGCTTTTGCAAATGTGCTGGAAAACACCGCTCGTTTGCATGTTTCAGCATGAAAATAACCTCAAACATACATCGAGACATCTCAAAGATCTCAAAGGTTGCGGGAGTCAAAAATCATGATTTTATAATAACCACCACAATCATCAGATCTTCACCCTATAGAAAAATCTTTGTTGTATCAAAAATCAAAAGAGATTCACAAACAAACAGACATAACCTCTGCCCAAAGCTTCAGGAAGCGAGGAATATTATATCCATGGTTAAAATTGAGCGTCAATAACTCATAGGTGTGCTGCCTTAATAAAAAATAATACTCATGCTGTCGATTGATAGCAAAATTTACATATTTATAAGAAAGAATCAACAAGTTGCTTTAGTTTTGATCCAGCTGAAATTGAGTCGATTTTGTTTCCCCTAAAAAATTATTTTATATTATATCCAACGTTAAAAATGAGCGTCAATGCCTCATAGGTGTGCTGCCGTAATAAAAAATAATACTTATGCTGTCGATTGATAGCAAAATTTACATATTTATAAGAAAGAATCAAAAAGTTGCTTTAGTTTTGATCCAGCTGAAATTGAGTCGATTTTGTTTCCCCTAAAATAATTATTTTATATTATATCCAACGTTAAAATTGAGCGTCAATGCCTCATAGGTGTGCTGCCGTAATAAAAAATAATACTGTCGATTGATAGCAAACTTTACATATTTATAAGAAAGAATCAACAAGTTGCTTTTGTTTTGATCCAGCTGAAATTGAGTCGATTTTGTTTCCCCTAAAAAAATATATTATATCCAACGTTAAAAATGAGCGTCAATGCCTCATAGGTGTGCTGCCGTAATAAAAAAAATACTTATGCTGTCGATTGATAGCAAAATTTACATATTTATAAGAAAGAATCAACAAGTTGCTTTAGTTTTGATCCAGCTGAAATTGAGTCGATTTTGTTTCCCCTAAAAAAATATATTATATCCAACGTTAAAAATGAGCGTCAATGCCTCATAGGTGTGCTGCCGTAATAAAAAATAATACTCATGCTGTCGATTGATAGCAAAATTTACATATTTATAAGAAAGAATCAACAAGTTGCTTTAGTTTTGATCCAGCTGAAATTGAGTCGATTTTGTTTCCCCTAAAATAATTATTTTATATTATATCCAACGTTAAAATTGAGCGTCAATGCCTCATAGGTGTGCTGCCGTAATAAAAAATAATACTGTCGATTGATAGCAAACTTTACATATTTATAAGAAAGAATCAACAAGTTGCTTTTGTTTTGATCCAGCTGAAATTGAGTCGATTTTGTTTCCCCTAAAAAAATATATTATATCCAACGTTAAAAATGAGCGTCAATGCCTCATAGGTGTGCTGCCGTAATAAAAAAAATACTTATGCTGTCGATTGATAGCAAACTTTACATATTTATAAGAAAGAATCAAAAAGTTGCTTTAGTTTTGGCCATGCAAAAATTGGGTCAATTTTTCAAAGGTTTCACCATAATTTTATTTTTTAAAAAAGGTCATCTATTTAGATTGCAATTTCAGTTGCTATAGTTTTGACCACCAGTGTATATCTAATTCTGAATCATATTAATTATTTCTTGACAAACATCATTCTTGACTTAATTTGGGGGTCTATGTCCATCATTGTGTCACCTTTTAACTAAAATCGGACGTAAGTATCTAAGGGATCTGATATTTAGATCTGAACTGATTGACGGATGAACGGAGCTATATCTAAATCTGAATCGAACATCGAACAAAACATCACAATATATATCGGAACTATATCTAAATCTGAATTGAAGCAATACAGAATGCTGTTTTAAATTTCTGGCCAATCGGCGGACAAACGTTGGATCTTTGACGTACGATTTTACCCTGACTCATATAAAATTTGGAAACACTTTGTGACATTTTTTTCAACTTTTTTTTCCAATTGGCAACACTGTTGCTTTAGTCATACACTGCCGTAATAACATACTGCAAGTGGTTGGGGGCCAGGGTGGGATGTATTTTATATAAACAATACTCCACCCTCGCATATGGCGTGTTAAAGTCAATATTTTGTTGCGGTATGTTTACTTAGGGGAGGAGGCATACTCAAACGCTCCTGAAAATTACAAAAACTGACAACAACAACAACAACAATGGAATTGTTGAGAACAGTTCTTCTTTTATAGTAATTCTAATTGTGTCATACATTTGTGAACAAATTCAACAACAGTTCCACCAAAGCCATGTGTCATTGCTTAGCACGTTTCTTTATTATTCCCTACCATAAACATCAATTAAAATATTAGAACTAATATAACTATCATTTAACTTGTTGATACATTTTTGTATTTGGTATTTGCTTTAAAATTGAACTCCAATTCGGCGAAGAAAGAATGATCGATGGACGATCATTTATTCTTTGAGTTCTTATGATAGAAAATATTCACTGTGGGCCACATCTAAAGAATATGGTGGATGCAGAATTTGAAATTCAATTAGAATCGTATTTAGCAATTTTCATAATTGATTCTGATAATAGAAAGATTTCCGGATATCGTTAATTGGTTTGAATTTATATTAATTTGGTGATAATTTAATTATTTTTATGTTTTTATTAAAAATGAAAATTATTCATTTCAAAAATATGAACTTTGAATATAATAGGTACCATTTTCAATTAAATTTGCAGCATTTTTTTATTAAAATAAAAAGGTTCTTTACAATCCGGATTTTTGAGTCAAATAATCATGGATTATGGGAAACGCAATGGGTTGTGAAATGCATTAATTTACCGAATATAATCCGGATTGTCTCATGTTATCAGTTTATAATTTCCAGTTTTTTCCACGTTTCTCAGTTTTGGTCGAACGCCTAGAGCATATTGACTCATGTAGTGCTTCATTATTTTTGGTTGCTCTAAGATTTATTGTTATTTTGGAAAATAATACCGACGGGTATTTTAATTTCAAAATTTCATAGTTTTAAAAAACATATTCCTATTTTCCTAATAAATTGAATTAATTGTTGTTTTTCATTCTTTCAGAAAAAATGGCTTCGATGAACGCGTCCAATACACAATCACAGAGAAAAAGGATAAGAAACCACCAAAGGCCCACGTAAATGCATTATTCTTCAAACAGCTGAGACAAATTCTGCGTAAGTAAATTATTTTATTTATTTATTATAATATGGTATATAAACTGGTGACCAAAACTAAAGCAACTGAAATTGAAAACTGAATAAATTACCTGTAACTTCTTTGAAAATAAACTTATAGTGAAAGTTTTTTCAAAAATAAATATGTTAAAAACCAAGATTTATTTTGAAATAAAAAACATTTTATGGGGAACAATTTTTGCTTGGACAAAACTGAAGCAACTTTTTGAATTTTTCTTATAAATAAGCAAATTTTGCTATTAAACGACAGCATAACAATTTTTATACCCTTCACCACTCTGTGGTACAGGGTATTATGCCTTTGTGCATATGTTTGTAACAGGCAAAAGGAAACGAGATAGACACATGGTTCCTTTTGAGAATATGCATAGAATCACTTTCTGAGTCGATTTATGCATGTCCGTACGTCCGTCCGTCTGTCTGTCGATGTTAAATTGTAAACAAAGTACAGGTCTCATTTATAATCCGAATTGGATGAACGATGTGTGTCAAGTTTCCTGAAAATCGGTTCAGATTTGGATATAGCTCCCATATATATTTTCGTCAGATTTAAGGTAAATTGTGTACCAATGTCCCTATTTATCTTTCGATTTGCACGAAATTTGGTACAACGTAATGAATTAGGTCTAGCATAATGTGTGTTAAGTTTCGTGAAAATCGGTTCGGATTTGGATATAGCTCCCATATATATTTTCGTCCGATTTAAAGTAAATGTTGTACCAAAGTCTCTATATATACTTCGATTTGCACGAAATTTGGCATAGCGTACTGAATTAAGTCTAGAACGATGTGTGTTAAATTTTGTGAAAATCGGTTCAGATTTGGATATAGCTCCCATATATATGTTCGTCCGATTTTAGGTAAATTGTGTACCAAAGTCCCTATATATCTTTCGATTCGCACGAAATTGGGCGCAGCGTAATGAATTAGGTCTAGCATGACGTGTGCACGATTTTATTTAAATGATACACCAACGTCCCTTTATATCCTTCGATTTGCACGAAATGTGCCTCAGCGTACTGAATTAAGTCTAAAACGGTGTGTGTTAAATTTCGTGGATATCGGTTCAGATTTAGATATAGTTCCTATATATATTTTCGTCCGACTTTAGGTAAATAATGCACAAAAGTCCCTTTATATCCTTCGATTTGCACGAAATTTGGCATAGCGTACTGAATTGAGTCTAGAATGATGAGTGTCAGGAAAATCGGTTTAGATTCCGACATATCTCCCATATATATTTTCGTTCGATTTTATGTAAATGGTGCACTTAGGTTCCTATATATATCCTTCGATTTGAACAAAATGTTGGCATAGCGTACTGAATTAAGTCTAGAGAGATGTGTTAATTTTTGTGAAAATCGGTTCAGATTTAGAAATAGCTCTGATTTAGATTTAGAAATAGATTATATTTTTAACAACGCGGCGTACCGAATAGCGTGTATCAGTCCGACTTTACTACTTTCCTTATTGGTTTTATATTACGGCAGCACATCTACTAGACATTGAATCAATAAAATACTCAATTATATCCTTGGCTATACTATTCCTTGTATCCTGAACTTTTGGAAGAGGCTATGTTTGTTGGCGAAACTCTTTTGATTTTGCTATCTACGATACTCCAAAGATTTCTCTATAGGGCTGAGGATTGTGTTGGCCATTTTAAACCTCTGATTTTCGACTTCCAAAAACAATTTTTGATATGTTTCGGTGTATGCTTGAGGTTATTGTCAAGCTGAATCAGCGAAGGGAACCAAAGCGTTTTCCAACACATTTGTATAAACAATTCGATCCATTATTTCATAAATCTCGTAATTATATTGAACTCCATAAAAAGAAAAACATGCTACCCATTAATATGAGCTTTTGCGAAGGGCAATCTAGATTTCCGATTCTTTCAAAAATAAAAGAGCGTTCTTGGTAGTTTCCGGGCATGTATGCCTGCTACCATAGCTCGTCCAAGCTATGTTCTTGAGGTTGTATTGTCTTGAATGAAAAATAATTTTCTGTGATAAATTATTTTTACAATCTCTGGTAATTAGCTGTTTTATCAGAGTACTGTATTTGTTTCTAGTAATTTTTATATTTTTTAACAGTAAGTAATTATAATGGTAAAAATAACTACACCTTTTTCAAATGTTATTCAAAACATTTCAATTGCAATTCGAGAATTTCATTTGTAATTCGAAAATTCAATTTGCAATTCATAACATTTCAGTTGTAATTCGAGTATTTAATTTGCAATTCACAATAATTCATTTGTAATTTCAAACTTTTCATGTGTAATTCAAATAATTCCATCTGAATTTTTAAGAATTTCATTTGTAATTTGTAAATTTTTATTTGAAATTCGTTGAGTTTCATTTGAAATTCAATGAATTCAATTTGAAATTCATAAAATTTCACTTGTAAATCATAATATTTCAGTTGTAATTCGTAAAAATTCATTTCAAATTATTAACATTTTATTTCAAATTCGAATAAAATAAATAAATTGAACAATAACTGGGGTAGAATTTTTTTATGTAGTGAAAAATATTATTAAAAAAATCAACACGCACACACACATATATATATATATATATATATATATATATATATATACATATATATACATATATATACATGACAAATTTACTTTGAATATATTACATTAATATGTACATACATTTTTACCCACCTTAATGTGTTACACATTTTTTGGTTGTTTCCAATAACATTTTTCCAAATTAAAATGAAATTTTATTAATTTCAAATAAAATATTACGAATTTCAAATGAATTTATTTGAAAGTTGAATGGAATTTTATAAATTTCAAATGGAATTTTAGTAATTTCAAATGGAGTTTTTAGAATTTCCAATGGAATTTTACGAATTTCAAATGGAACTATATAAATTTCAAATGGAATTCTGCGAATTTCGAAAGGTTTTCTATGAATTCCAAATGAAATTCTCGAATTACAATTGATATGTTATGAATTGCAAATGGAATTCTCGAATTAGAAATTATATGTTGTGAATTACAAATGGAATACTCGAATTACATTTGATATGTTTTGAATAACATGTGAAAAAGGTGTAGAGCTCATCTGTTTGTAATGTAGAGTTGCTTTAGTTTTGTCCATGCAGAAATTAAATTATTAAATTACCATAAATTATTATTTATTTCATAATGAATTTTGCATTATTGCTTTTGTTTTTTTTTTTAAGTGGATAAATAACCCGATTTAAAACTGAAAACCTAATACGATATCTTTATTTTTGAAAAAGTTATGCGGCATTTATTAACTCTGCAATTTTAGTTGCTTTAGTTTTGGCCACCAGTGTATACCTATGCCTGTAGTATATTACGTGTGCAGATGATATGCTTTAAGTAATACATTACAAGTCCCAGGAAATATGCCCCTAGGCCTGACAGGGCATGCACCCTATCAATTGACATGTTTTCTAATATCTTTAACTTTTATTCACGTCGATCCTCAGCAATTTCCAGTTTCTGAGAACGTGTCGAAGGTCCATAAAGATTACTGATGTAACAATTAACGATTCTGCATGGTTTCTTTTTTTCCTTTCCTTTTTTCACATTTTGATTGAAATTCAAAATGAACAGGAGAAATTTACTTCCTTCTCACAACATTGCCATATAAAAGTATATGGCAGACCAACACCTCAATCAGTTGAACTTCGACTATTCAAGAGAGATATGATTTTCTAGAGAACGTCTGTATCATTCTCCTAGACTCGCAATATATTGCGTTCTTTGATCTTTTCTCTCAAACTTCAGAAATACCGCTAATGTCGCCGGAAGTTGTCATGTCGTTCTCTGGCCATAGATCTTTTAATGGTTGGAGATGTGGCAGACCAATACCAACATCCAGTCGACCACCATTGTGTACACCTGAAAATCATCGAACATGGAGAATGTTTTCTAGAAAATATAGGTATATTTACTTCAGACTTCCAGTCTAAAGGCCCAGGAGCACGGAAGACGCCAAAGAGCTCATATTTATATCATTGGCGGAAAAGTACAGTTGGGCCAATTACATGAAATTCCCCGAGTCTCACTCGTACAACGACTGGTTACATCAACTACTGATGGATACAGGTTCCGTAACACCTCAACGTTATATAGTTCCTTTTATAGACCACAATTTCGCCTTGTCGATCACTGATAATCGGATATATTGAGGCGAAACACTTTCTCAAATCACTTGATTATACTACACCTTTTTCAAATTTCGTAATTCACAACATTTCGTTTTTATACCCTCCACCATAGTATGGAGGGTATATTAATTTTGTCATTCCGTTTGCAACTCATCGAAATATTCATTTCCGACCCTATAAAGTATATATATTCTTGATCAGGGTAAAATTCTAAGACGATCTAGCCATGTCCGTCCGTCTGTTGTAATCACGCTATCTTCTGAAGGAATTGAGATAGGGTGCTGAAATTTTGCATAGGTTTGTCTTTTGTCTGCAGGCAGGTCAAGTTCGAAGATGGGATATATCGGTCCACGTTTAGGCATAGCTCCCATATAACAGTACCCCCCAGTTTTCGGTATTCTGGGGTTCTTGAGCGCGTTTTTCAACCGAATACTCTGAAAATATGTTCTTATAGGAAACTAAATGTCTCCACAAAAAATTATAAATAGGGGTAGTTCCCATATAAACCCCTTTTTTATATTAAAATGGTTATCTTAGGTGTTCCGTGTGTTGTGGTTGGGTAGTCGTTAGACTTTTTAGCCATCTGTTGTAAGCATTTCGCCTTCTAAAGATGTTGTGATAAAAGAAAACTCAATCATTATGATAATGAAATATATCGGCAGACATTTAGGCATCTCCTCAATATAGTGATAATTGAGATAAACAATTAAAATATTGAGTTCAATATTAGCATATACCGGTCATTAATTAGGCATAGCCCTCATATAATGATATCCCCTACTATGTAATCAATATTAGTCCCCCTTTAGGCATAGCCTCATATAACTTTGTAATCTAAATTAAAGTAGTTTGAGGATTTTATATTCTACCATGCGTTATCAGTATCAGTCCACTTTTTGTATTTTACAGATTTTAGGAAAAATCCCCATTAAAAATTGCTGAAGTTTGTATTTGGTGTACATAATGGTTTACATAAATCGGTTTGTAGAATTATATCTAAAGATATTGTGATAAAAGAAAACTCAAACATGACGATAATGAAATATATCGGCAGACATTTAGGCACCTCCTCAAGATAGTGATACCTCCTGAAGGAAATAATTGAGATAAACCATTAAAATATTGGGTTCAATATTGGCATATACCGGTCATTAATTAGGCATAGCCACTATATAATCAATATTGGTCCCCCTTTAGGCACAACCTCATATAACTTTGTAATCTAAATTACAGTAGTTTGAGGATTTTTACTACCCAATTTTTGGTATGTTCCCTATATTTTCATTGCATGTATTTGTCAGTATAACTATGGTGGAGGGTATCCAAAGTTCGGCCCGGCCGAACCTAACGCTTTTTCACTTGTTAATTTTAAACTTTTCATATGTAATTCAATTTGATATTTAAAAATTTTATTTATGATTCGTATATTTCTATTTGAAATTTGTTGAGTTTCATTTGAAATTCAAAGAATTCAATTTGAAATTCATAACATTTCACTTGTAATTCATAAAATTCCAGTTGTAATCCGTAACAATTCATTTCAAATTCATTCATATTCTTTGTATGTTACCAATAATATTTTTCGAATTTAAAATAAAATGTTATGAATAAGAAACTAAAAATTTTATTTATTTCAAATTAAATATTACGAATTTCAAATGGAATTTTTTGAATTTTATATGAAAAGTTTAAAATTACAAATGAAATATTGTAAATAACCAATTACATTATTCAATTGCAAATGAAATGTTATGAATTGCAAATTGATTTTTCGAATTACAAATGAAATTATCGAATTGCAATTGAAATGTTTTGAATAGCATTTGCAAAAAGGTGTAACATTACAATTGAAATGTTTTGAATAGCATTTGCGAAAAGGTGTAGTATTCATTCATTCGAATTTCAACTCACTCATACGGAATCAATTTGAATTTCCCCAAATATTTTTAAACCAATTTTGAATCAGTTTTAATTTTTATTATGTACAACAATTTTAGAATAAAAATTTGCCATTGATTATAAATTTGTCATTAACAAATATATTTCACTCAAAAACGACGATTTCGTCCTCGGCTGCGACTACGTCTACGATAACGCCCAATTGTTTCATATTTCTCTGGCTGCAATAAATCTTCATAATTCGATGCTTCATTTTCCTGAGATGTTGATGGTGGGCAACAATTATTTGATTGTGCTAACATTTCCGCCATATCTTCATTCGCCCCCTTTAACCTCATAAGACGCAATATTTTCTCCCACATCTGCTTACCGGTATCCATACAATTTCGATACAAACGTATTGATTTCCTTTTCACCACATATAAATGATCTGTTGCATAGCCAACGCACAGAAGAAATGTTAAACTTAATGCCGTAGTTACGCAACCCAATATATATTGTTCCCAGGTATTATAGATCTCCGGCGATAACCCAGCCATAAGTATTCCAATTTTACACAATTTACACGTTATCATTTCAATGGTACACCAAACAATTAATGCACTAAATTCAGTCAGGAGAAGACTCATTATTGTTTCGGTTACAATCTGACATACGAATGGTAAATGACGATATCGCAGGGGAAATAATTCCATATCCAAAAGTAAATCAAAAAATCCTATTATAAATAGCCAACTGGCTAGCGGTGGTGCCTTGGAACACAAATCCGATTTTTGTTTAATGAAAAACGATACGCCTAAAACGAGATGTAGGGCTGCTGTTATTGTCACTGCCGATCTGGAGACCATTTTTTGTGAGACGTTTTGTTTATTACGAATTTACGGAAAAATATTTTTATTTATTTTTTTAACAGAAGCTAAATAAATTTGATGTTAAATGACATTTAATACAATAGTATCTTCCCTACTGCAAGAATCTAAAGGGCCCCATACACCATAGGGCGTGCATGACAGCATTTAGACTAGTATTCCCTTTCAATCCGATGAATGTTTCCTATTTTTCCGATATCATAAAGGAAAAAAAATGTTATAATAGTAAAAAAATGCAGGTTCTCTTGTCCATATACAATTTTTAAGATGTCCTCTGATTATAATAGGAGATATTTATCGATACTGCCGCCGTCTATTGTTTCCCTTAAATCTGTCAAGAAATCGACCCTATGGTGTAGTGTATATTAAATTCCCTATTTGCAACATCTCGAAATATTTATCGGAGACTTTTGATCAGAATAAAATTCTATGTAGATTTTGCCATATACGCATGTTCCTTGTAATCACATTTTGAACATATACTGCTACTACTCTTAAGATGTTGTGAATTGTAAATATGGTATATACCAGGTGGTACGACACCACTACATTTTCGGTATTTTGGAGGTTTTAGACCATCGAAGTGATTGGAGTCTGATATAAATCTATAAAGAAATTGATCCACGTTTGTTACAGCCCCATATAAAGGTCCCATCACATTTTCGGTATTTTTAAGGTTTTAGCAATAATTTCCTATCGAAGTGGCTTTAATTTGACATATCGATTTTATGGAGGGCGAAAATCAATTTTGAAATAAATTTTCGATCAAGAGCCATATTTTCGGCACAGACATGACTCTCAAAGAAGGATATGAAATTGTTGTTGTTGTAGCATGTGAAATTGTTGTGTTTCCTTGGTCCAAGTTATTCTAGTTCTGGCTTCTAAGGCAACTCCGGACAACATTTAAGTAGCCATAGAAACATTTGAAATTTTGACATCTTATTTTTCACAGTTTTTTTTTTATCGGATATGTCGTTGTTATAATTCACGGAATCCTCAGCTATATAACCTTCTTCTTTGTTGCCTGCCACGAATGTAATAGCTTTTCATCCGTTCCGATCGACATTGGAGAGAGCTTTTCTTCACAAATTTACCTTGACCAGACGGTCTCACTTTGAATGTCGTACAGTATATTCCTCATCCATCATAGATGAATTCCGCTCGGCTAAAGATGAAAAAAAAAAATTCACTCTCCTCAATCTGAAGAGGTATGTCTTGCTATACTGTGGTTTATGCCGTTAATTTATGGACGCGAATTTCCGATTCGCCGCCTTTGGTAATTTTCGTTCATTTAATCCGTGACTCTCCACCAAGTTCCGCTAACTGCTTGTGACTGCATATTTAAATCACACATACTCAATGAATAGTTATTGGGTTTTCCAGAAAATATTCGTTAGGACCAGATGGCAAATGTAAAAAAGAATTTAAAGAAATCCATGATCTTTTTCACGGTTTCATTTGAGAAAAGTAGCAGTGCATTTTTGAACCCGCAATTTTAATTGCCGTTCTAAAATCGCTGTTGATGGTCCTTCTTCCTTCAAGGCAACCAATCACAATTATTCAGCATCAGAAAATATTGGCTCTAAATATCCTCAAAGGTAATAAATAGTCTGTCCTTTTGAACGTTACCTTTCCAAATAGTCACAATAACCTCTACCTCATGGTCATATATGGAATTTAGGTGCTGATCAGCATTTATACGCTTTAACCTTACTTTTCAATAATATGTTTTTTTTTTCATTTACAGCCATATTGATTCCCAGTTTTTGGAGTATGGAAAGTGGCCTCTTAGTCCTGGTGGCCGCCTCACTTGTTGGTCGATCGGTCAGTGATATTTGGATGATTCAAAATGCCACAGTTGTGGAAAGCACAATTATCCATATGAATAAACCCGCCTTCCAAAAAGCTTTAGTTAAATACTTAGCAGCATTGCCAATGGTAACAATAATACAAATAAAAAAATTCCATTCAAACTCATTTTTTTTCAAAATACCCTTTTATTCAATTTATTTTGTTTTTTTTTTTTTAGATTTCTGTTGTAACCAACATTTTGAAATGGAGTTTAGGTGAATTGAAATTACGGTTTAGAACGAATTTAACACATCATCTGTACAATAAATACTTGAAGTAAGTCCACGAATCGTTTAATGCAATTCTCAAATGCTAATTAAATGTATACCTTTTTTCAAAATTTCTTTTCAGTGGTTACACCTACTACAAAATGTCCAATTTAGATAATAGAATAGCCAATGCCGATCAATTGTTAACAACGGATATAGATAAGTTTTGTGAAAGTGCCACAGACTTATATTCGAATATCAGTAAACCGATATTGGATATATTCATTTATGTTTATCGTCTGACCACAACATTGGGCGCCAAGGTAAATTGTGAAAATGTTTTTTAAACACACACACACATCTTCTACAAATAGAATTCTTAAATAATTTCATATTTCCTTTTTTAGACACCCTCAATCCTTATGGTCTATTTGGTGGTTGCTGGTGTTTTCCTTACCCACTTGCGCCGTCCCACTGGCCGTCTTACCGTCGAAGAACAAAAACTGGAAGGTGAATTCCGTTATGTTAATAGTCGTTTAATTACAAATTCCGAGGAGGTAGCCTTCTATCAGGGTAATTCACGTGAAAAGTTAACGCTGTTGGCCAGCTATTCGAAATTACGTTCACATTTGCGTAAATTTTTGGAATTCCGCGTTGGCATGGGTATTGTGGATAATATTGTGGGGAAATGTAAGTAGCCTTTTTTTGATTCATTTTTTAAATTGATATTTGTGATGATCATTTTGTTATTATATGACAGATTTTGCATCTGTTGTTGGTTTCTATGCTGTGTCTATACCATTCTTTACACCCAATCATCCTTTGTTGTCGGGAGAAAATAGTGGAAAACGTTTACAGGTAAGTACAAAAACTGAAATGCCCATTGATATCAATTTTTGCAGCTGTAATCGCATGATTTGTTTTTAATCAGTCCGAATAAGTCGTACTTTCAAAAGGTATGGTTGAAGATGCTATGAACTTTTGCACTTTTGTTTATCGAATATGTTGGTGGGTTCGTAGAGTCCACAGCTACATAACTCTCTTCATTTTCTGCTGTCTGCTCAGAAGTTATAAGCTTTAGCCCTGATCAACATTAAAGTAGGATTTTCTTCGACAATTTACTTGACTAGAGGGTCAAAATTTGAATACTGTATTCAGCTCTGCTCGCAGATTTTATATAGATGATGCGTCGACTGCAATGAGTCTTAATATTTTCAGATTAGCTCTCATGGGTCTATTGATAGGCCTTTCATTAATTAAGCATGGAAATTTTTCTACAGAAAATGTTTTTTTTTTTATATTAGCACAACTTTTATTCGACAAAAATCCTCGGGCAATATACAAATATTTAATTTCTATAAGTTATTTTAGAAATAAGAGCCTTCTATTCATTAAACTAATTAGCTGTATTATGCTGCTACAGTTCATGGCTATATATTTGAACCCTTTTTGTCTATTTTTGTATTTCTCACTCACTCTCTTTCTACCCTCCACCATGTCTCCTTTTCCACTTAGGCTTACTATACATACGGCAGAATGTTAATTAAGCTTGCAGAGGCTATTGGTCGTCTTGTATTGGCTGGTCGTGAAATGACTCGTTTGGCTGGTGAGTATTGGTTTTGGTTTTAATACACACAAATGCATTTTATTTATTTTTTGTTCCACTTAGGTTTCACTGCACGAATGACCGAATTAATTAAGGTATTGAATGATCTCAATAAGGGTACCTATGAACGTACTATGGTCAACAATGCTCTAACGCATGAAACTGGTTTTGGCCCAGGCAAAGGTGAAATGGTGTTTGTTGACAATATTATTAAGTTTGAAAATGTTCCATTGGTGACGCCGAACGGTGATGTTTTGGTTAAGAATTTAACATTTGAGGTTAAGTAAGTATAATAATGTTTGCCAATTAAACTTAACTCATATAAAGATCTGAGTTCTGTATACAATGGAATCTGTGGTATCTATACAGACCAATTGGTCTTTATAAATATAAAGACCTATGGTCTCTATACACAAAAAGGTCTTTATAAAGACCTGTGGTTTCCATACAGACCAATTGGCATTTATAAAGACCTGTGGTCTCTATACAGACCAATTGGTCTTTATAAAGACCTGTTGTCTCTATACAGACCAATTGGTCTTTATAAAGACCTGTGGTCTATACAGACCAATTGGTCTTTATAAAGACCTGTGGTCTATAAAGATCTGTGGTCTATACAGACCAATTGGTCTTTATAAAGACCTGTGGTCTATACAGACCAATTGGTCTTTATAAAGACCTGTGGTCTATACAGACCAATTGGTCTTTATAAAGACCTGTGGTCTCTATACAGACCAATTGGTCTTTATAAAGACCTGTTGTCTATATACAGACCAATTGGTCTTTATAAAGACCTGTGGTCTCTAAAGACCTGTGGTCTCTATACAGGTCTTTATAAAGACCTGTGGTCCAACCAATTTAGGTCTTTATAAAGACTTGTGGTCTCTATACAGACCAATTGGTCTTTATAAAGACCTGTGCTCTCTATACAGATCAATTGGTCATTATAAAGACCTGTGGTCTCTATACAGATCAATTGGTCTTTATAAAGACCTGTGGTCTCTATACACATCAATTGGACTTTATAAAGCCCTGTTGTCTCTATACAGACCAATTGGTCTTTATAAATTCTTGATGTATCTATACAAACCAGATGGTATTTATAAAGACAAAAGGTCTCTACCCAATTGGTCTTTATATAAACCTATGGTCCCTATTAGTCCTTATATAACCCTATATATGTATGTTCCTAATTTTATATATTTATTTTTATTAGATCTGGTACAAATGTTTTGGTGTGTGGACCTAATGGCTGTGGTAAATCTAGTTTATTCCGTATTTTGGGTGAATTGTGGCCAACATGGGGTGGTAAAGTTGTCAAACCAAATCGTGGCAAACTTTTCTATATTCCCCAAAGGCCTTACATGACACTGGGCTCGTTGCGTGATCAGGTAATTATACATTTACAAATCAGTGCCTGTATGCTATAATCTAAATACGCAAAATTGGTTCTCACAGATCACCTATCCCCATACACGTGAAGATATGCGTCGTGCCGGCAAAACTGACGAAGACATTATGCAATATTTGGATATTGTACAATTGGCATATTTGGAACAACGTGAAAATGGTTTGGATGCCATTGAAGATTGGATCGATGTGTTGTCGGGTGGTGAGAAGCAACGTATTGCCATGGCTCGTCTCTTCTATCACAGTCCACAATTTGCCATTTTGGATGAGTGTACAAGTGCTGTATCTGTCGATGTGGAGGGTAAAATGTATAGTTATTGTCGTGAGGCTGGCATTACCCTATTCACAGTGTCGCATCGTAAATCCTTGTGGGTTCATCATGACTACTATTTGCAATTTGATGGTCGTGGTGGTTATGAATTCGGTCGCATCGATCAGGATAAAGAACAATTTGGTTCATAAATAAACACACAAATAGGCAGCACACAATAAATACACATACCCTTAACACACATTGGTTTAGTTTTGGTGGCAATAATGTACAGATAATAAAGAAAAACAACGAGCGTTATTCATTCATCCATTGCCCATAATTACATACGAACAAAAACAACAACAAATCAAAAATATTTGACTATCATATAGTGGCCAAGATTTCTGTTAGTGTAATTTTTTTATTATTTTTTATAGTTTTATTTTATTATTATAACTTTTTATAATGTGTAGAGCAATTGTGTTGAATTGATAATTTTTTTGTAAACTTGAAAACTTTCCATTGCACATGATGATTCCATTATTTTTCTTTATTAAGACAATAATTTTCCATTCGCTTTGAGCTATCTTAAAAAATAAATCTTTTTACAAACCTTGGAATTGATTTCCTTTTGAAAAAGTAATAAAAACAATTTTGGTGCTGGTTTAAGATAGGAATGAAAATGAAAAAAAATTGTAAATTACAAAAATTAAGAAACCACTTTTTTTAACTAATAATTAATTTAGAAATTCTTGCACACAAACACACACTCCTTTCTTCCATATATCCGAAATCCAGTCCTAATTTCGTTTTGTATAGAACCATTCAAACAAAAAAAAAACTATTTTCAACAAGCTTGTATATGTATGTGTGGTAAATTTGCTTAGATATATATTATGTGTATATGTAACAATAATACTAAAACCATAAACAAAAAAAGAATACGCATTTTTGTATTACAAGAAAATATAGAAATACAAAAAAAAAACAGGATTTACTTTTAACCAGTAGTTACTTTTTTTGATCAATTATTGTGTATAGATATATATGAATGTCATCTCTTTATATATACAAGCAACTGTATGTATATCTATTGAAAATAGTAAAATAAAAATGTGTAAAAGACAAGTGTTTTTTAATTGATGATTTTGTACACATTTATGCTTCACCATTAGGGGTATTTTGGTATTCCGGTTTCCCATCAAATTGGCTGTAATTTGTAATTCCAATTTCTGGGAGGCTGAGAAAAATCGTTGAAAAAAAAACTATTTTACAAAGCCCACACACAATGGCTCCGCTTTATTTTCTGTATGTTTATGCTTTTTTGTGTTTTAAGTTATTGGCCCGTCACCCGATTGTCGAGTATGTTTATGTTTTTCTAGCGAATTTTCAACCTGATTGTGTGTAATTTGCTGTGGCCCCAGACAGAGAATTTACAAATATGTAATACATATATACAAAAGTCCCGATCAATTTAAGGAAACACTCCACAAGTTGGAGTGTATAAAAAATTGGGTCCGGCCGAACCTTTCCGTCATTTTTACTTCTTATATATAATTTCAAAGACCAATACAAACGGGCTTTTTATTTTTTCGAAGGACCAAAACAAGGGTGGATTTTTTAACGATTATTTCTGTCAAGGGCAAACATAGACATGTTTAAAAAAATAGGACCAAATAAAAATTTGTGAAGAATATTATTTGAAAGACCAACACAAGCGTCGATTTTTTAAAGAATACATTTTAAAGACTCACACAGGCGGGGATTTTTTAAAGAGTACTTTTTAAAGACTAACTCAGGCGTGGATTTTTTAAAGAATACCTTTTTAAGACTAATTTTTTAGATCCATCATGGGCGTGGATTTTTTAAAGAATACCTTTTGAAGAATAATTTTTAGGTCCATTATAGGCCTGGATTTTTTAAAAAATAATTTTTTTCTTTCATGGGCGTGGACTTTTTAAAGACTAACAGGCTTCGATTTTTAAAAGAATACTTCTTCAAGGTCCATCATGGGCGTGATTTTTTTAAAAAATAATAATTTTTTAAGGATTATCATGGGCGTGGATTTGGATTTCTTAATGAATAATTTTTCAAGGTCCATCCATAGGCTTAGATTTCTTAAAGAATACTTTTTAAAGACTAACAAGAATACTTTTTTGAAGGACCAGCGCAAGTGAGGATGTTTTATAGATATTATTGATATTTATTTCCAGAAATTCCAATTTTTTTGACAAATTGAAAACAAATGCACCTCACTCAATAACGAACATTGCGATTCCGACCGTTACTCTCACTTCGTCGATTGTTACGACCACGATTTTTATATTTCGTTGATGGTGGTGGCAAAACTGCGTCATTGTTATAATATGAAGATCGAGACAAACGAGGTGACGAATTATATGGGCGTTGTGATAAATTTAAACTCCTTGGATTCGCCACATTATTGTTTTTCATATCCAAATATTTTCTCCAATAAAATTTCCCCTTTGCCGCTGCAACCATCCATAGAAATATGAAACTCATGGCTATGGTCACCACGCCAACTAAATAACGTTCCCATGCATGGTAATAATTTGCTGATAAACCAATCCCAATCAATATTGTTTTCAATAATTTCCAAATAATTCTCTGAGCAGTACACCAAATAAACGGAGACACGAATTTTGTTAGCAAAAGGGCACAAACGATTTTGACAGCAACCTGTGGTATACGGGGTATGTGATTGGAACGTTGAATCGACGATGCAATATCGAATACCATCATAAAATATCCAATCGAAAAGAGACATTTTGCCAAATTTGTTGTTGTTGAGCACGATACAGATTTGTCTTCAAATAGGAAATATGAGATAATCCACAACAGATGCAACGGGACAGCTGTTGCTATGGACGACATTTTTGATGCGTTTTTTTTTTTGGAAATTAAATATTATATTAAATATTAAAAGAATATATTAAAATATATTTATTTGAAATTGGTGTGTATTATGGAAAAAGAAAACAAATATTTTTTTCTATTGAAAACTGTTATTAATTGTCATCTAGTATACAGGTAACAGTACGTTTACATTTAACCGGATTTCGTTAACCCAGTGGGTTTCAATTGCCATTTCCTTTCCATATATGCCAAATAAATCCTCATAAAGTAGGTTAACCCCGGTAAAAAGTTCTAATGTACAAGGAGTTTAAGTTTGGTTATGTGTAACAAAATACTGGGGGCTTTATTGGAGCTGTAAACGAACATTTATTCAAATACTATGGGAGCCTTGATTGTGTCCTACGATATGATAAAGAATATTTTTGGAAGGACCGCTATAGGCGTGGGGATTTTTTTAAAGAATACTTTTTCGAGGTCCATCATGGGCGTGGATTTTTTAAAGAATACATTTTTAAGGACTATCATGGGCGTTGATTTTTTAAAGAATATTTTTTGAAGGACCGTCATGGGCGTGGATTTTTTAGAGAATAATATTTTGAGGTCCATCATGGGCGTGGATTTTTTAGAGAATAATTTTTTGAGGTCCATCATGGGCGTGGATTTTTGGAAAAATAAATTTTCGAGGACCATCCGTAGGTGAGGATTTTTTAAAGAATAATTTGTGGAGATCCATCATGGGAGTGAATTTTTTAAATAATAATTTGTTAAGGACTTTCATTGGCGTGGATTTTTTAAAGAATACTTTTTCGAGGTCCATCATGGGCGTGGATTTTTTAAAGAATACTTTTTCGAGGTCCATCATGGGCGTGGATTTTTTAAAGAATACTTTTTCGAGGTCCATCATGGACGTGGATTTTTTAAAGAGTACTTTTCGAGGTCCATCATGGGCGTGGATTTTTTAAAGAATACTTTTTCGATGGCCTGAATTTTTTAAAAAAAATTTGAGGTCCATAATGGTCGTGTATTTTTTAAAGAATAATTTTTCAAGGATCCATAAGCGTGAATTTTTTAAAGAATATTAATTCCCGACCCTATAAATTATATATATTCTTGATCAGGGTAAAATTCTAAGACGATCTAGCCATGCCCGTCTGTTGTAGTCACGCTATCTTCTGAAGGAATTTAGATAGATTGCCAAAATTGTGCATAGAGTCGTATTTTGTATACAGGCAGGTCAAGTTCGAAGATGGGCTATATCGGACCACTTTTCAACCCAATTTGCTGAAATTTGGTACATTGGGTTCATTTTGGGTACCAAATGCCTCCACTAAAAATTATAAATGTCGGTCCACTTTTTCTGGTAGCCCCATATAACGGTACCCCCAATTTATTTTGGGGGTTTTAAGTGATTTTTTAACCCGAATTCGCTGAAATTTGGTACAATGGGTTCTTATTGGGTGCCAAATTTCTCCACTAAAAATAATAAATATAGGTCCATTTTTCGCGTAGCCCACATATAAGGGCAACCCACTTTTCGATATTTTGAGGTTCTTGAGCGTACTTTTCAACCGAATTCGCTGAAATTTGGTACATTGGGTTTATTTTGGGTACTAAATATCTCCAAAACAAATTATAAATATCGGTCCTCTTTTTCTTGCAGCCCCCATATGAAGGTTCCCCCCAATTTACGGTAATTTGGAGGTATTTTTAAGCGCGTTTTTAAACTGAATTCGCTGTAGTCGCATATGGTGACAAATCTTCCTACCAAAAAATATTAATATTCACCCTTTTTTAAAATAGTTAGCTGATTAGTTCGGTGTGTAGGGGTTGTCCCCATATAGGCGTATTCTACCATAGTATAGGGGATAGTCGTTACTCGAAATAGTCAGTTTTACCCTACATATTATGGAATTCTAAGACGATTTAGCCGTCGGTTGTACTCATTCCGCTTTCTAAGGAAATCGTGATAAAAAACTCGAACCTGACGATAATGAAATATATCGGCCAGCATTTAGGTATCCCCCATATAATTATACCTTCCGATGGAAAGAATTGAGATACAAAACAAAACTATTGGGTTCGAAATTGACATATGTCGGTCATTAATTAGGCATAGCTTTCATATAACAATAACCCCCAAATATTCGCTAATTCCTACAGTATGTAATTTAACTTCATAATCTAAATTGCAGAATTTTGAGGATTGCATATTCTACCATGCGTTATTAGTATCAGTCCACGATTTGGGATTTTGATTAAAAATTGCTGAGATTTGTATTTGGTGCATACAATGGTTTACATAAACCGGTTTGTAGAATTATCGGTATAGGTTTACTTTTTGGTATA